TATCCGCCTTTTACTTTCAAAATATCTGCCGAAAAATCTGCATTGCTATAGACTGTAGCTCTTAAACGAATATACCTATTTCAATGAAACTTCGCTGAAGTCATTTTCTTGACGCCTTTTAAATTTATCTATATAACATACTTCAACGAAAAGAAGCTGGAAAAAAAGTTACGATGGTAAAATTCCGAATAACTCAAAAACTATACACTTTTTTGTCGGCATGGTTTTTTAAAAGTTTATAAATTTTCCTTAAAAACCAAAAAAAAAATCGGACAATTAGGAGCAAAGATATGGTCTCCAGTTTTTTTTATATGTTTTTCTCCAAATGTTATATCCTTTGTTTTTAATTTTGAATGTGTTACTGAAGTAATGTTTTTTTTTTTTTTTTAGCATATTACTAATTATTAAAAAAAAAAGTTTTGTCCAATAATTGGAATCACCTTTTATTTATTTTTTTTCTTTGTAACTAGGAAGGTAATGTTACTTTAGATGTAACGTTGTTTGAAAATAATAAACCATTGGGAAATAATTTGCAGCGTTTTTTTTTTTTATATTTCTTTAGATTTTTATATAAATTATTAACTCTAAAAATGTCTAAAAAATTACAATCAAACGGCTGGCCAAGGTATATTAATCAGAAATATAATCTACAAACCGCGCAGAGAATATTTACAGTAAGATAAGCAATTGCTTAGAGATAAGGCAGAAAGCGCCAGGAAAAGTGAACTAGTTGATAACGTCCAAGAGGCTCTTATCAGTTGCGTCACGATTGTCCAACAGGTTATCGCGTCTATTAATTCTATCCTGTCAAGATCGCTAGGATCGTCGGCAACACAACAATAAAGGCGTCCTTTCTATCAAACGGTTTCGGGTGATTTATTTATCGACTCCACTAAGGTATCAAAGCTAAGCTTAAAAAGAATTTAGGAAATTTTTATTATTGTTTTTTAAAAATCGAAAATCGAACCATAAAAATATGTTTTGGTATGCTGGACTTTGCTTTTTCCTGGTCCTTCTAATCGAAAGAAACACCTTGAATTCACATGTCGTTTATCCTTTCATTCACTCCATTTTCCCTTTTTTTTAATATATACTTCATTTTTTTTTCTCCTTTTAGGCTATAGAAATAGAAAAATCATCTTTATTCTGGGACTAGGTCCCTTTAGAATAACAGTATTGTACATATAAATTAACCATAAATCTGGCCAAAAGATCTATTACAATGAATAACAACAAAATACTAGTAATAAATTAAGTATTAATTAAGCTCTTAGGATAAATTTACGAGAACAGTTGGGTAATAGGGGTTCAGTACTACAATATTGGAGCTAAAACAGCAGCATAATAATCACTGAATGAAATTAGAAAGGAACGCAAAATCAATTTTATAGGCAAAGCATTGTAGTGATGAAATATAAAAATTAAAAAAATAATAATAACTGTTAATATGTAAGGAAAGAAATTGTAAAAACAAATGCAAAACATACGGGGTTTTCCCGGGGCAGAGGATGAGGGCGTGGGATTAATGCCAGAGTTAAAAGCCCCTTATCGGCACTGGGACGTGAACTTGAACTATATATTTTATCATTTATAACTTCGGTTATCAGGTGTCGTGCACAGGCGTTAGTCCGCTCGGCCACCTCGCCTCCAGTATGTAAATTTGATGTAATTTTTTTGTTAAATATTTATTAAATAATTTTTTTTTGTTTCAATTTTGGACCAATTTAATCAATGTGCTTTTGCATTTAACTCTTCTAATTTTTCATTTGGGCTTAGTTGGTTTCCCCTATCTGAAAAAATACTATAATATCTCTCTAATAATAAGCTAATAGGTAACTGCAAGACTGTTGCGAGACTCTTGCGCAAGACCAAGACCCGTCTTGGTCTCGCATTTAGGCAACACTACTGAAACTTGCACTGTTTTTAAGAAGAGAATAGAAATAAAATATCTTAGGAGGACGGGAGAGATCATGAGCCATCGACCTTGGGGGGATGAGCACCCCTACAGCGAACAATAAGAAACATAAAATGCATGCGTTACAAACTCTCTATCTATAAGGGCTTATTGAATATTTAATAGTTGACCGTTGCATTATAAAGGAAGGAGATGGTCCGGCGTTGAGGTCATAAATAGGCTAAATACTGGCAAAACTATTTTATTGAAATATAATTATTGGAACGTCGGTTTTCAATAAAATAGTTTTACCATTATTTAGCCTATTTATGACCGCAACACCGGACCATCTCCTTCCGTTATAAGGGCTTATCTGGTGATTTCCGAATGCTTTTTTTGCTTTGCAATAAACATAACCGAATCGGCCATAAACGTAGGGAAACATGCAAGAACCAAGTTAAATACACTTTTTGCACGCCTGTGTTAGAATAGAATAGAAAATTGAATTTTATTCTGGGATTAAGTCCCCTTGGAATAACAATGATGAATTAATACAAAAGAAAATATAAATCTAACAAATACTAATTTATGAAAATTCTAACATTATATACATATTGATGTAGAAATGGTTGACCGTGATATGATGTGAGAAGGAGTTGATAGGATTCAATCTATTTATTTGACCGCACCCCCAATAAACTCCTTCTCATTATATACATTAATTTAAAAAATAGTATGTAACCACTAAAAAATAAACAAAAAAATTAATGAACATAAAATCTTCTCATGATTACTTTTTCTGTGATTGTGACGAAAAAAAAAAAAAGAAGAAATACACAATTTATAACCTGTGATTTACATAATAATACGCAAACACTGAAATAAATAAAAATAAAATCTTCTCAGGAATTCTTGTACTGTAATGGAAAAAAAAAAAGAAATATACATATACATATTGGTACACAGAGAGACAAAAAGTATAACCTGGATAAATAAACCAATAATGTAATAAGATAACAGAAAGGCAGTGCTAGTCACGGTTTGGGTGATATGTAAACAATGCCGAGATGTTATCATCCCATCGACTCCACGACTCGGAGAGAGTACTCCCCCCGGAGCAATGACCCCCTTACCCCGACTAAGGGAGGTAGTAGAACAGGAGGAGCAGCCGGGAGCGGGAATCAATACAGCCGGCCAACGCCCCACGGGCTCATTCAGGATAACCGCCCCCCCCCCTCCCTCTTCCCGCCCCCGCACGTCCTCTCTCAGTCTTACCTTTATCCTTCCTTTACTGTCACTTGGATCACAGGTTCCTCGGGTTATAAAGGTTCAAGTCTTCTACAATCCGACAATATTTCCTTTACATTTCCTTATAACTATCTCTATTCTCTATTTACGCACTCGAATTAATGGCTCTGCAGCTTGGGTGTGAATGAGTATAAATGAGTTCTATAAGATAAAAAACTCATAGTATAAAAGTTGTAGAACATCAGATTACACGTTCACTGAGTACTAACAGTTTTAATGTAGACCGATTATATCTCTCGAATCGGGGTTCGTTATTTCTTCATAAAAACAGGATTTTCTTATACACCTCATTTCTCAAAAGCCTTCAAAAGCATTTCTCAAGATCCCTATACTGTATATACTAGACTCTTAACAAGAATAGCTGAGTAGAATATACATCATTTCTGTTAAAATATTTAAAATTACAGATATCTTCATTACAAATTTCCAACTATCGCTATTCACTACCGATTTCGAGTGGAGTAAGTGACCTAATTTAAAACAATTGGTACTCGGTGAACGCAGAATTTGATGCCTACAACTTTTATTCTCTGTGTTTTTTCCCTTAGAGATCTCTTTTACAAGCTTTACAAGTAAATTTGACGAATTTGGTAAAAATCAGCGTTCGTTAGTTATTGACTATTACTCGACCAAACTATTAAGTTTAAGTACTCGTTCGGCGCACAATTTACCGTTCTTTAATTTTTTAAAGGGTACGTTTTTCGCTTCGATGAATTATTTTGGAGTTATAAGTGAAAAAACAAAAAAGAAGGCTTTGTTTTTGGCAATAATAACTTCCAATTAAACAACAATCGATTTATTTGTTCTATTTCCAAGTTTGCATGTTTACGTTTCGGAAAATTTACTCCCATCTTCAGAACTACAATCGCATGTTTCTTTGTCGATTCATGGCTAAAAATGAGTTAAATATAATAATGCATGTTACAAAACATGTTAGAATTGAGTTGTTACATTAAATTTGTAATTGCCGTAAGTCTAATGTAATTACAAAGGTAATTACAGATTTAATGTAACAACTCAATTCTTAGATGTATTGTAATATGTATTATTATATTTAACTCATTTTTAGCCATGAATCGACAAAGAAATATGGGATTGTAGTTCTGAAGATGGGAGTAAATTTCCCGAATGGTAAACATGTAAACATTTATTTATTTTTCCCTGTTCTTCCCTACCACGCCTTTTAGGCTATACGAGATTTTCCCGGGGGATGAGGACGGCGAATTTAAAATCCCCTCCATCACCGGGACGCGAACTCGTACTTTTTAATCTCTCAAATCTGTTATCCGGTTCCCAGGCAACTTGCGGTGCTGTGCACACGCTTTAGCCCATTCGGCCATCCTTTCCCTAACTTGGAAATACAACAAATAAATCGATTTTTGTTTAATCGGGAGTTATTTTTTCCAAAAACAAATAATAACTTACAACTTCTCAGCAAAAAGAAGAATTCAAAAAAGATTTTTTTGGCAGTAAAACTTATTTTCATCCAACTTTTTTAAAAATATTTACGATCGTTTTTGAAATAAAGATAAATTGCTCCATCGGATTCATCTGGTGTTCTTACATATGAAGTGTTCTCGATCTCCTAAAAATCTATTAAGGTTCACTTTGGAAATAATCAGCTCACTTAATTATTTTTTGAAATAAATCTATAAGTCTTGTAAAACATAAAAAACATTCAACATTCCAGAAGTTAAAAATTTCTGCTTTTCTGATGCCATATGATTTTCAAATTTAATCAGGAAGGAAAGTGCGGGTTTAACCTCAGACCGGAGAAGGTGAGGTAATAAGGAAATGGTTACCACAGCCCCCGACGCTGAGGTTCCTGGGGGACGAAGGACCGGCCCAATTTGCCCTCAGGCGGCTTTTGCTCCTCCAAGGGAGAGGGGGCTAATAAAAGGAAGGAAATCGGATTAGGAAGGGGCTGTATCGTGTCGGCTTTATCAGTCCCATCAGTATCCTCCTGGCGAATGTCGAAATATGAATTATATCTCTAATTCTGGAGTTATTACAAAAACAAGGTATCAATTTCATCGTTGACTTGGTGAGTTCGTCACACCACTTTCACTTACCACCCTGATTTGATATCTACACTATATGAAATAGGATTGTATAGATAACCGCCTCTCCCCTTCGCTCACAATACAGATCAATTTTGATGAATGAGGTGTCATACGAATGGGAATTTTATAGAGAATTGAAGAATCCCAATTTCGATCTTTGAATTCTTTAAACGTTATTGGTAAAATTGGAACAAATTTAATATGTCAAAAGATAGAGTGCACTTTCGATATATTTTATTTTATTTAAAAAAAGGCAAGCCATCTTCGGAGGCCCATTGAAAGATACCTATATGAAAGATATATACGGTGACGATGCCTTAACAAAACGTACTGCTCGAAAATGGTTTGCTAAGTTTCGTTCCGTCTGGAAGATGCACCTTGCTGCGGTCGACCCATCGAGGTTGATTCAAGTGATATTAAGGCTCTAATCGAACAAGACAGGTCGCTAGAGGTACCAGGAATTGCGGAGACACTGAAAATAGGTTATGGAACCTTTCTAAGGCATTTAAAACATTAAAACCTAATAGAAATACAGCTATTAGAGATTTATTAGAACTACTAGAGTGTGCACAGTACCGCGCGTTGCTCAGCAACTTCATAACCGAAGTTATGAATATTAAATAAGATAGAGTTCGCGTCTTGGCTCCGTAGTGGGGCTTTTAATTCCGACATCAATTCCCGGCCCTCACCCTCTGGCCCGGGAAAATCTCATATAGCCTAATAAAAAGGCGAGGAAGGAGAGAACAAAAAAAAAGTGGAAAATGGTTCTGAGGTGCTTATGGCATTGAGGATAATTTTATAATTATTGACAATTTATATATATATATATATATATATATATATATATATATATATATATATATATATATATATATATATATATATAAAATAGTTATGCCTTCTTTAATCTCAATTAATGAAATCCCTCTAGAGGATTACGTTAAAAAAATTAAGGAGAACGTGTGGAACATGTGGCAAAACAAGTGGGAACAAGGAGAATCGAAATCAAAAGAAATTAAACCCCACTGTTTAAAATGGGAAACCTCGCACCGATCATCTCGAAAAGAGGAGACAGCCCTTTGCAGACTGCGAATTGGGCATTGTAAGTTCTCGCACTCCTATCTACTAAGAGGACTTGATCCTCCGACCTGCGAGAGCTGCAATGTCCAAAGGACAGTAAAGCACATTATTCAAGATTGCCCTTCATTTGAACCTAAAACGAAGAAGTTAGACATGGCACAGAGTCTAAAAGAAAACCTACAAGACAGTGAAAGTGCAGTAAAAAAAACTTTAAGGTTTTTAAAAGATATAAAACTCTATAACAGAGTGTAATTCAAAGGTGTTGCCAATGACCCTACAGGGTAGAGGCAATAAAACATGAAATAAATAAATAACCTCAGTAATAAAACTAAAATAAGCAAAAAGCTCGAAAAGAAACATAACGAATAGAACAATTCAAACTGTAATGTCATCTATATCATATAAGTGAACATTTAACTTGCCAACGTTTCGCCATCCAAGATCACATGTATGCAGAAAGAAAGAAAAAAAAAATTGTATTTTCATCGCATTAAGCTCTCCAAAAATAAGGAAACAGGTGAGGGAGGTTATATAAAATAGCTGATTAGCAGGGATACAGGAATAAATAAATAATTGTACTTGAAATACAATAATACAAAAATGTGTTGATAAAATTTAAAAAAAAAAAAGGAACAAATTAATTTTTAAAAAAAAGCTGGAAGGTATATAAATCTTACACACCCCACAGAACTTAGTAGATATACTTTATACACTAGCAGATCCAGGATTTCATTTTGGGGAGGGGACTTCAGCCCGAAAGATTTTTTTTTTTTAAATATTACAATAATTACTTTGGAAAAAAGGAAAGAAACTAACTACCTATACCAAAATGTGTTTAAGTTATTTTTGAAGTCCTATTAAATATAATTACACAAACAATAAAACTTTTAGAATAATATTTAATATTTTTTTCTTAAGACATGGTAATATATCCGCCCTCTCCGTATATCCGCCTGTGTCTCCATACATAATACTATTAAAAGAAGCTTGAAAAGAGATATTATGAATGGAACAATGCAAACTATAAAGCCATGAATCTGTGGTATACAAGTGTACAGTTAGCTTGTAATAGACTCTTATACTCCCAGTAAGTAAAAGAGTACAGGAGAGGTACAAAACAATTTCTTCAGTAGCAAACAATTTGGTCTTGAGCGAATACAATATTTTGACTGTTTTTTAAATATTTTAAATTTATATTTTGAAGTTATTATGTAAGGTCGAAGATAATAAACCGGTTTCTAGAGCTTTGAGATTGCAACCGCACCGAAGCCCTCAAGGCCGTTGGCCTCCTTGCCCTAACCTGTATGTACTTCCAGCGAACTCCGTAGGAGCCTTAGGATATGGAATGTCTTGGTCCTGGTTTATTTTTTTTTAAGCTTACAACATAATCATAGTCGTAAGGTTTAATTTCAACGTTATAATTTATACGATCTACAAGATACCTAGTGCACGCATGCGTCATTGTAATGAGATCATCGAACTATTTGAACTTGCCTTCATTCTTAGTATTGTTTTCACACGAAGAATTTATCTTGATTTCTCTTTATATGTACAAAATCAAATATATTATTATATCGAATATTTAATAGTTGACCGTTGCAATAAAGAAAGGATAAGGTCCGGGGTGGCGGTCATAAATAGGCTAAATAGTGGTAAAACTATTTTTATTAAAAGCCAACGTTTTGACCCGACTTTCCAGGTCTTCTTCAGGGCTAGAACGGACAAGATACAAAAAAAATAGAGAATTGTAGAAGTTACACAATATTTAGACAAAAAATTATAAACAGTAAGTACATTAAAATATGAACAGACTAAGCTAAGTAACAAGATCCTAAACTGAAGTAAATATATGCTAACAATTGTTGTAGGGTAATATATAATAAATGCAAATGTGAATGTACTTCTTCAGATCTACAGGAGAGATTGAAATAAAAGGAAAAAGGATATAATATGAAATAATAGACATAAAGGAATGTGGAGAAAGAAAAGAAAACAAAAAACAAGTAAATAAAATTGGAAGAATAAAATTAGAGACTTACGGATGTGTTCAGCTAGGAGTTTCACCTAGAACTGGAAAACCAGGGTAAGGGCAGGTATAGGGGAAGCTGTCTTGTTTGGGTAATGGGGAAAAACCTAGACAATTACAAACGTTGGCATAAATAAAAAAATTAAAAAGACTGCATACTAAGAAAATTACAGTATCTAAAATTTGAAGGTATGGATGGATACAATGGAAAAGTACTATATCTATGAAATATTAAATTATAATTATATACATATACATATAAATAGAATTGAGCCTCTTTAAGGGATTAGGGGACCCGCGCCTTAGTGGTTTTAGTAGTCGAATAGGAGAACTTATTAATTTTAATTTATTAATTTTTATTTTTTTGTTATTAATTTCCAAGAACCGGATTTGACCACTTGATATAAAATTTTTGCAAGCGCCTTAATTCGCTCGAACAAAATACATCAAGGCTGCCTGAGTGCCGAATAGGGATCTACACTGCCTTATTGTATATAACCTGTACCACTTCAACCCATGAAGGGTCGTCACAGGCGGATCTACGGGGAAGGGAATGAGGAGGGGGGCTTTTATGGCTGAAGCCCCTCTCCCCCCCCCCAAATGATAAAATGTAACCATGTTTATGGTTAAAAATATTAAAACATTATCTCTTAAAGTATTATTGTTCGTGTAATTACATTTAATAGGACTTCAAGAATCACTTAAACACCATTTCATATAAGTAGATAAAATCTTTCGGGCTGAATCCCTCTCCTAAACTTAAATCCTGGATCCGCTAGTGAGGGTCGTGTATTGAGTACTTAGCAGAGAGGTGATCAGGCCAGGATCACGCTCAACCATCAAGTTTTTCCTCTATTTAATTAATTATTCTATTAACAGTCTACACTTTATAGAGAGCGGCTAGATGTGCCCCATGAAGGTCTCCCATCCCAGGGTCGATCCACGACTAATAAAAAATTATCTGTCATCTGCCGGATTCAAACCAAAGACCTTGAGCCTTGGAAGTCAATGCTGTACCCACTGAGCTACCCTGCTCCCAATCGTATTTTATATAGTTTAGATAACTAAAAGAAACTAACTTAAACATGTTATACATATGCCATGACAACTATAGCACCTAAGACATTTTTGGCAAGTCTTACGATTTATCTGGAAAACGTCGCATTTTTAGGAATTGTAAGGTAGGTCGCTGTATAGTTCGTTTGATGTCAGGATTGAAATTTTCTAGTACGATTTATTCCGTCTTCATTTGTCGACATTCATTTGAAACTATTTGAGTTTTAAAACCTACCAATTTTTGTCGCCCGTCGATTCGAGTCCGTTTTTATTAATTCAATGTTATTAATATGTTAAAGGATAAGAAATTATAAATCTTTTTTCTTAACAAAGAGTATCAACAGCCCAGCTTTGTAATGAATATAAAATAAGTTGGCGGATTAGTAGACACGATCAATAAATCGATTAACTGTATACTATAATTATGGTATAATTTTCTCAATCAACTTCTAAAAAATTTATGAGATAGGCAATCATGGAAGGCTTGAATAATCAATAGATTTTTTAAAGCATTGAATGTAATACAATCACTTTATAGCATTAGCATAAACTCAGATTGAAGAAATGAGGAATTGGATTTATTGGTTTTTTATTATAAAAGTTTGTTGCTATTTTTCGTTTTTCTAAATATTCAAAACAAATCAGAGATTCATTAAAAAAAATCAAAAATGCACTTTAAACGCTGAATGATTTCGTCACATAAGAAAATGTCAAATTATATTTCAGACCTCTTGTGCAAAGTTTATATATATTTTCTTTGTTTTCTTATTAAAATAGATTTTTAATCGGCGTTCACTGCGTCGCCTAAAAATCTTTTATAATTAGTAAAATAATCAATAATTAACTGTGTATAAAGGATTTAAATTTTCAGGATATGCAGACATAGATATCTTCAAAATCTGAATGAATTTTCAAGTTTTTATTACAAACTCATGGGGGATAAGATATTTGAGATAGATCTGAAAAATAATATAAAAGTTGACAAAATAAATTGTAAAATTGTTGACATAACATGAAATGAAAATAAAAATAAAATCTTTCCTTTTGTAATTTTAATTTATTTACTTCGTGTTTTGTCTAATTTTCTTTATTTTTTTTTCGATGAATCTTTTCGATTTTGTATTTTTTTTTTTAAATCAGCATTAATAAACATTTTTAATGTAATAAAATGTTTACAATTTTTAGTTTTAAACGTTCTGTTTTTAAAATTACTTATAATTAAATTGTCTTAAAATTTCTGATCAAAACTTTTGTGATTATCTATAAAATTTGTCAGTAGGTCTTAGATTTTTTTTTTTTTTTTTTTTTTGCGGTTTAATCCAGTGGCTGAATATTAATTTAATTTTCGATATTATACTACACACTCCTTGTATATTGTTTAAATCATTTTTATTATTTTATGGTTGAAATATTATTTTTATTATAAGAATCGAGGATAATGGTGGGTTCGGTAAGGAGGAGATAAGCTGATTGGTACAGTGGGGTCTAAATCGATAGGGGCGGTTCTGTACTGCCAACTTGATCGGCAACTGCAAATTAAGTATGATTTATTAATTTTTTTTTTATCATATTTTTTTTTTTGGTTTTGCTTTTCGATTTAAAATAATGTCCTAATAAAACTCAACCATATTCAAGAACTTGACAAATAGTTATTTAAAAATTTCTTCACTTACTTGTTTATACATAATCTATGAGGAATTTTGTGGTTCTTAGATTTTTATAATTGAAGGCACCTATTCCATTGATAAATATTTATTTAAGTTCAGATTGTCCAACGTTTTGGGTTTCTGACCCATCTTCAAGTACAATTTATAATATATAATCTAAAAAACATTCTCAACAATCCTCTCATTTTCATAACAGCGCATGATAAACATTTTGTCACTTAGTTAATATTATGTTTAAAACTAAAATAATTTTTTTTTAGAAGTAATTGAGATGGATATTGTTATCACTATCACATTGTATGAGGGTTGAGTGATATATTTAAACAATCTGATAATTTATTTTTATTCTACATCCCTGCTTAGGATTACTGATTGTAGGTTTTAATTGAACTAAAATTTGATCATTTATATTTTTTTGGATTGCTTTATACAAAAATTAATTTTTACACTTTAAAATTTTTTTTTCTCGAAATTTTAAAACCATGCCGTATTCGAATAATTTCACTGATCAGACACACCTTAATATTTGAAAGTAAAAAAAAAAAAAAACTAATCCGGAGTTTTACACATTGTATTTCCAGATAAAAATACGTGGCGAACTTTGTAAATCTCATTTGTTCTAATCTATTGTAGTTTTAAAAATAATCAGAATAAAATTAAAGAACACGTAAAATTATCAATGAAATTTTTGGATGAAGCATGTTAATTAAATCATACTAACAATCATTAAATTTAATATTTCTCAACCAACATAAAAGAATAAGAAATGCGTAAAAGCGACATAAGCTCTAAACCAAAACTCATTTGATTTCTCTTGAAAAACAAATAGAAAAAGCAGATAAATCAGTCACAGAGAGCACAAACACTTGCCTAGAGGAACATTCTATTTACAAGTTCGTGTTTTCTATAGATTGTAAAATTTATAAAAGTGGCTTTGACGATTGATGTTTGCTTTGCCTTGGTTTGTTAAAAGATTATTTTAATGGTTGACAAAAAAAAATCCTACAGTAAAGAAGATAAATTTTGTGTTTCTAATTCTGGCAGTTACCCTGAACCCGGGTAGTGCGTGGCCCCGAGGGAGTTTTCTATGAATAGCGAGCTTCTGGGGGAGGGACCACCATTCATTGACAACAAAGCACCTGTGAATAGAGGACTTAGGTCGTACTTTGGAGCAGGTAGGGAGCTTTGTTGCCGTTCTTGTTTGCTATCGGGTATAACCTGACATACTTAATTAAACTTCATATATTATCTATAAACCTTAAACTTAATTTATGAATGAATAACCCAGGCTATTGTAGCAGAACGTAAGATGAATGAATATTTTTAGATTTATTTAAAAAAAAAAAAAAAAAACTGCACCACTCAACCTCCAAGTTTTCCACTTAATTTATTATTTAATTGAGATTATCCACACGAGGCTAGGTGTGTCCTAGGAGGATCTCTCAACCCCAGGGTCAATCTCCGGCTGAAAAAAAATTCCAATCCAGGATCTTGAGTTTAGGAAGTCAATGCTTACCCACTAGCTAGGGGCGGGGTCCTGATACGCCAAAGGAGATATTTAAATCGTGCCAAGAACCATTAAATTAAACATCTCTCAAGAAACATAAGCAGTAGACAAATGTCTAAAAGCGGCATTTGATCCTTGCGACCCAAACTCCCTTTGATTTATCTTGAAAAACTGGCAGCAGATGGAAAGAACACGAGTAACAAAAAAACTAGCTTAGAAAACCAACCGATTTATATATTTGTGTTTCACGATATAATTAGTGAATAAGAAAGGAGAGGGTACTGAGCTTCCATTGCTAAAGGTCTCAGGATCAAATCCCGGCTCATGAAAAAAAATTTATTTATTCTGTTTCATTTGTAGCATGTTCTAAATTTGATATTTTGTGTGTTTTAGGGGAGTGTAAATTAGTTCATATTTTCTGTTGTAATTTAATTGTCTAAATCATATTGTTTTAAAAATAACATATGTTTTTATTAGTTAGTATAAAAAATCCCCTTGCACAATCTCTACCCAGCACCACCCATCCTTACAATCCTCCTCGAAGGTTGAAGCGGCAGTGGCCCAGAG